TAGCAAAATACCCTTTCTTTGGGTTGCTGTGAGTTTGCCATATTCCAGAAGCATTCTCTCCTGACATTTCGCCCACATCTATGGCAGGCATCCTCAGAGGTTGTGAGGTCTGTTGGAAACTAGGCAAGTGAGATTTATATATCTGTTGAATAATGTTAGCATTTAATGGCCTTGCAGCTTCAAAACCTGGCTGCTTCCTGCCTAGGGAATTCTTTATTGAGAGGTGTTAGCTGGCCCTGATTGTTTCCTGTCTGGAATTCCTTTTCCAGTTCTAAGAAGTGATCCCCCTGCAGGAAGCAGCCAGGCTTTGGAGCTGCAGCACCATTCAGTGCTAATGAAGCTGGCCAATTGCAACGTTCACACTTGCCTCAAGCAGACAAGAGTTCTTTCTCCTACCCTAGACATTATTCCATAAATAAACCCCACTTGCCTAGTTTACTACAGACCTCACAACCTCTGAGGATGCCTGCCATAGATGTGGGTGAAAAGTCAGGAGGGAATGCTTCTTGAACATGGCCGGACAGCCTGGAAAACTCACAGCAATCCATTGATGAAAACCTTCGACAACATACTTTTTTATTTTTAATGTTCTGATATAGAGTCCACACACTTTTGAATTATTTTTTATTAGATTTTCAAACCCTCTATTTACAGCTTATATCCTTTTTCAGCATAATTACCCACTTCCCAAATAGATTCTTAATTAATTTAATTTTAATTATTTTTTAAAAAAACAATTACCATTTATATCCTCCAACTTGAAACTATCCACTTCCCAAATAATTTTTAAATAAATTTTAAAACCAGCTTAAGTCCCCCGATTCCTTCTCTAGATTAGGATGTACTACAAATCCCGGCATCCCTTACCACTGGCTGAGGCTGATGGGACTTGGAGTCCGAAATCAAGTGAAGTCTTATGCATAAAAAAAGAGAGAGGGGGAGAGAATTGCAAAAACCAGGCACAGCTTCCATGAACCAGGAATGGAAAAATAACACATTATGGGAGTTGTAGTCCTTAAATGGGATTTATAGTTATCTAATAGATATCCCTTCTGTATTATGGTACTTACAACCATGCATTGGCATTCCTAATCCATTAAAAAAAGCAAACCTTCCTATAGAATATCTTATTTTAAATATATAAATATATATACATTTTAAAACATCACAATATGCTCTTTTTTCCCCCCTTCTGCTGTTACATCCCCTTGAACCCGCGTCTTCGAATATCCCTCTGTATATTTAAGTGAGAAGTGGAGAATATTTATTTCCTGAAAATGTGTGTTTTTTGGGGTGCCGGGAAAGGGAATTAACTTCTTTTTTTAATGTAAAGACCGCTCTGTATAAATAATAATAATAATAATAATAATAATAATAATAATAATAATAATAATAATAATTGTTCAATGCCTTCACAACTGTCCCGGGTCTCTCTCTCCATCTCTCTCTTTCTCTCTTTTAGATGTTCTTCAATGTATGGAGAAAAAGGAAGTCCCTTTGGTGTGTGGTTTTCCCTTTTTATTATTATGTGTTAACAAACCTTGCCGTCGTTTTAACTCTTCATCCTTCTGTGTGTCTTTCTCTGTACATTTTTTTCCTGTTCTTGCATGTGGAAATAAAAAACACACACTAAGAATATTCCAATAATAAAACAAACGTTAGTCGCAAGCTGTCAAAACGACTCCCATTTGCCTCTCGGGAACTGAAATGGTTTGTAGGACTGTTGGGCATCCCTTCTGGCAAAGGTTTTCCAGCCCAAAAGGGGATCTTTATTTATTATTTACGAAAGGGCGTTCATTGAAGTTTCCCCTTGACCCACTTCTATTTATCACAGGATGCTGAAACTGCACATGTGTTCTGTCGCGTGCTGGGCCTGTAACAGCTGTACATTTCTATAGGACATATACTTTAAGCCCAGCGGGAAGCCAGGGGTGCCTCAAAGAGAGATTCTCAAGGATTTTTCTGAAGTGATGGTCTTTAGAGTCTTTAGAGTCTTTAATGATACAACAAAGTCTTTATTATGGAACAAACAACAAATCTTTTTTCGATAATTACAAGCTGGATAGATGCGGGGAATGCCGTGGATGTGGCGTACCTGGATTTCAGTAAGGCCTTCGACAAGGTCCCCCATGACCTTCTGGCAAGGAAACTATTCCAATGTGGGCTAGGCAAAACTACGGTGAGGTGGATCTGTAATTGGTTAAATGGACGAACCCAGAGGGTGATTCTCCCCAAGGCTTCCTCTTCATCCTGGAAAGAAGTGACAAGTGGAGTGCCGCAGGGTTCCGTCCTGGGCCTGGTCCTGTTCATCATTTTTATTAATGACTTAGATGAAGGGTTAGAAGGCAGGATCATCAAGTTTGCAGACGACACCAAATTGTGAGGGATAGCCAATACTCCAGAGGACAGGAGCAGGATTCAAGACGATCTTGACAGATTAGAGAGATTGGCCAAAACTGAGGAGTACAAGGTATTAGCGTTCGCGGATGACCTTGTTTGCATAATGGAGAGCCCAGCCCAAAATATTCAAAAATGGATAAGCAAAATAGAAGACTTCGGACAATTTGCAGGCCTCAAAATAAACAGGGAAAAAACAAAAATGTTAACCAAAAATGTTAAAATAGAAGGGAAGGACAAAATCCATAAAGACTCTGGGATAGAGGTAGTTAAAAAGGTCAAGTATTTAGGCATCATAATCTCCACCTCAAACAGACATCTTTTCAAAGATAACTACGAAAAGATATGGGATACTCTACAAAAAAAGCTTAAAAACTGGAAGTACCTAAACCTCTCAATTCTAGGTAAAATCTCAGTTATTAAAATGAATATCCTACCCAAAATGACTTTTTTATTTCAAATGATTCCTATTATAAAGACAGGAGCGTGCTTTAAGAAATGGAACAAGGATATCATGAATTTTATATGGGATGGGAAAAAACCTAGGATTAAGTTCAAAAATCTTATAGACGCCAAAAACAGGGGAGGACTGGCTTTACCGGACATACAATTATATTACGAGGCAAGTGCCCTATCCTGGGTAAAAACATGGGCGACCCTTGAACAAAAGAAAATACTAACCCTAGAGGGACATGACATCAGAAGGGGGTGGCACGCCTATCTATGGCACGGGAAAGCTGGAATAGAAAGAAACTTCACCAATCATTACATAAGGTCATCCCTACTAAAAATCTGGAATAAATATAAAAATTTCTTTTATAAAAAAACACCTATGTGGTTATCCCCAGTAGAGGCATATCATAAAAGAGAAATCCCTAGGAACAGATGGCTTAATTATAAACAAATACTTGTAAAGACCAATAACGAATGGAAATTGAAGCCCATAGAAGAACTCAAAGAGGAAGATAAAGAAATAGGCTGGTTCCAATATCAACAAATAAAAGCATGCTTTAAGGAAGACCAGTTGGGATATTATAATGAAAAAAGAAAGAAAACTGATTAAAATATTGTACCAAACTTTATTAGAGTGGAGCACCGAGAAAGAACTTATTAAAGACAATATGATCAAGTGGGCCAGAGATATAGGCCACTCAATAATGCTAAAAGAATGGGAGCAAGTCTGGAAAGTCAAGCTAAAATATACAAGAGCTAGTAGCACTACAGAAAACTGGTACAAAATCTTTTATCGATGGCACCTAACACCTGTGCAACTCGCCAAATTCAATAAGAATTGCAATGGAACTTGCTGGAAGTGTAGAAAAGAGGCCGGAACATACTACCATTTATTTTGGCAATGCAAGAAAATAAAAAAAAATTGGCTGCAAGTTCACAAACATACACAAAACATAATTAAGGTAAAATTCCATATGAAACCGGAATACTACTTACTGAATATAATAGATCTAGACCTCAAAAGAAATGAAGAACAAATTTTCTTCTACCTTTCCACGGCGGCGAGAATATTAATTGCGCAAAAATGGAAAGATAAAGAAACCCCAACAAAGGAGGAATGGATTAAAAAAATAATGGAATTTAGAGATCTGGACAAGCTCTCATACATGTTAGAGGAGCAGAAGAAAATAAAACAGATAAACTGGAAATCTCTAGGAGATTATTTTAGAGAAAAAATTAAGTTAGATATTTAAAGTGCTATGATCCAACTAATAAGGACAGATATAACCAACAAAAGAAGAACTACATAATCAGATGAACATCTCTCTGCGGACTGAACGGAAGACCAATTCACCGCCCCCACCTCCTCCCCATGCCTTGTTCCCTGATCTTTTCCTGGCCCCCTCACCAATCCCCTACCCTTTCCTACCCCCCCAATCCCCCTCACCTCACTCACACCCCCCTTCTCTACTATACGACATACCTACCTATCCTTTCCAATCTTTCTATCTGACTGATTGTTCCCCCTCTTTCATTGTAAAAGGAAAATTAATAAATAACTAATAAAAAAAAGAAATATGTGATTACTGATGGTATTTGGTGACCCTTCTGAAACCCCCTCATGACCCTCCCAGAGGTCCCGACTCCCAGGTTGAGAACTGCTGCTCTACAACCTAATTCTTTTAACTGAACTAGGAACTGAACCTGGATTTTTCTATGTGCACATCATGAGCTCTTTCACCAAGTCATAGAATCATGGAGTTGGAAGAGACCACATGAGCCGTCCAGCCTAACCCCCTGCCATGCAGGAAAAGCACAAAGTACGCCGACAGGTGGCCATCCGGACTCTGTTTAAAAGTAAACATACTATTCATATTATAAGTCTGATCCTTCTAAGTAGCGTTTTATTTTTAAAAATCCTGAGTGGAAATGGTCTACTGGATCTGAATTTTCCTTCCCACTTGTTGAAGAAAGATCTTAGATATGTGAGTTTCTTTAAGAACAGTTATGTTAATTCAGTGGACATCCTTGCAATTTCTCAAGTCGCTCCTGACACAGGAAAAAAAGCAGACATCCTTCAACTTTATAATATGTAACACCTTATTTTTCTGTATATTTTACCATTTTCTGTGTGTTTATGTCATTTGCAGCAAATGCAATGTATATGGGGAGCAAAGAGATGAGGATGATCATAGAGAAGGACAGCAGTACCGTAAGAAAACATTTAAAAAAGGTAATGCTCATTTTCAAATGTGCTTTTCATATTCTAATCTCTATTTATTATTTATTTGCGGTATTTGTATACCACTCTTCTCAACCCTGAGGGGGGCTCAGGGCAGTTCACAGTGTTGACAACAATTCAATGCCATCAATAAAAAACAGTATAAAACATCAAAGTTGACACTCCCGTGATAAAACATTAAACATTGTTAAAAACAACACATAAAATAACATCACATATCACACAAAGACATAGCTGTTGTCTGTAAACAGTCCTGCTTGTCAGTGTGTATTTACTTGAAAGATGTTATACGCCTTCTCCCATGTTGTAACATTCTGGATGACTTATAGCAGAATGTTTAGATATTTCTATATATTGCATTTTATTTCATTTGCCTGATTGATATACCATCATAAAAATCTTATTGGTTCTTCACAATAAAAAAAGTTTCAAACATTCAATATGAAAGTTTCAAACATTCAGTATGAAAGTATCTAATGTTGACTAACATAGCATCAGAATAAAATTAAGATAGACTCTATACATCCAAGGAAGTAGACTATGGTCTTGTCTACTCTGGCCAAAAACTCCAGACTCTCCTCACAATTTCAGATAGAAGACTGGCAGTCTTCACAATACACAAAGAACAGTTGGGGCAGTGATGTTCTGAAGGATCTGAAAAGATAAGGGAAGTGCTCATATGAGAAAAGATGATCTTAGAAATCAGCAAGGCCACAGTTGAGAAGGAATATAGGTTCAGTCCAGAACTTTGAGCTGGGTATAGAAGGCAATATGGTGGAGGATCCTTCTTTGAAGGCTTTTAAGCAGAGGCTGGATGGTCATCTGCCAGGGTGCTCTGAATGTGATTTTCCTGCTTCTTTTATATTGTGTATCTAAATCAGGGTTTCTGTCAAAGAATCTTCATCCAGGAACAGTTTTTTTTTTTTTGTGAAACTGTTTCTTTGGTTTGGGATGGAGTTGTACTCTGTGTTTTATACTAATCTGTTACACATTTTATTTATTTTTTAATGTTACCTAAGGTTAAATGTGTAAACCTCATTGGGTTTATTTATTTATCTTGTATCAAAAGCATTGCATAAATAAATTAGTGTAAAATTGATAAAATAGAGGGAACACAATCAGCTAAATAATTTTAGACTAAAACCGAGCAACAGCAACCATATTGCCTGTAGCTTTAAGCAGTTCTTCCTCTGTGCATGAGGCAGGGCATTGTGGACAAGCATACAGATGCGGAGTTGTTTGTTCTGCTCCACAGTCGCACAAGGTGGAGGATTCTTCTAGATAGTGTCATTTTGCCAGGTTGTCTTTTGATCTGCCACTCCACTACTGAGTCTGTTGAGGGACTTCCAAGTTGCTCATTCTTGGTTTTCCCATGGAGGATGACCCTCATGGGAGGCGATCTAGTTGGGATTTCCTGGTTTAGCTGCCCAGAGGGATACTCTTGCTGTTGCTGGGGGAACATTGTTTTACAACCACATTGGGTCAAAAGGTGATTATTATTATTATTATTATTATTATTATTAACAACAACAACAACAACAACAACAATAAATTTATTTATACCCTACCACCATCTCCCTGAAGGGACTCAGAGCAGCTCACAAAAGCACTTCAGGGTGCTACACATTAAATAAACAATACATAAGCATAAAAATATTAACATAAAATTAACACATCAAACACATCAAATACACATAACATCACATAATAACATTTTAAAATTTAGAAAACACAGTAGTGCCTGCGGTAAAACTGTCTGTCTTCAATTAACAAGCTAAAGTTCCGGAGTGAACAATCAGTCCTCACATGCAACCACTGAAACTACTCAAGGTCAAAGGCCCCTTTAAAAAGCCATGTTTTTAGGCTAGACCGGAAGGTTTGGAGAGTGGGGTCTAATCTAATCTCTCTAGAAAGGGCATTCCAGAGCCATGGAGCCACCACCAAGAAGGCCCTCTCTCTCATCCTCACCAACCGTGCTTGGGATAGTGGTGAGACCAAGAGGAGGGCCTCCCCGGCAGATCTCAGAGCCCGCACTGGTTCACAGAATTTATTTGAATGAGTAAAATCAACAGTGATTGCAAATCATGGAGAATATTTTGGTTTCACTGGGTTTGGTCTAAATTGGGAGAGGGAATAGGTTGTTATGAATATTGCAAAACATTGTTCTGATATGATTGGAGTAGCATTTATTCCCTGGTGTCACTACATCACTGATAATATTATTCTAATGCCTTCTATATATCATGATATAGGCGTTGTCTATATAATGATATTAATTTTTGTGAATTTCATTCTCACAAATGTGGATGAAAAGTTTCCAAGTTTTTGCCCATTTTTCTGACAATCTTCCAAATATTGGGGAGTAGGGTAAAAAGATTTTGCAAAAATTGCTCCTCCCCAAAAATTCTTTTTAGTTTGCACAAAATACAACTTGAATTGCTCTCATTCCCACTACAGCATAAAGAAGGCTCACTTCCCTTTCCAAATTAAGGACTATGGCAAGCGGCAAGTGTCTTGCAGGTGCTTTCCTGTGTACCCGTCTGTTTTTCTTGACTACGTCAGTCCACAGAGTGCTTTGGCACCTGGGAACCTTCTTTGAAAACCTGTGTTTTATTGTTTCCTCTGTGTCATTGCACTTTTAAAGTGGCAAACTGTACCCAGGGAAACAAAATAAGTGGAGGCCAAATTTTAGAAAGCTGGCGTGGCCACAGAAAAGCAGATGTGAACATAAAGTTAAATACCTCTCTCTCTTTTTCCTCTCTTTTAATTCTTTCTTTTTTAAATGTAGTCTTCCTTCTAATAATTTCTGGGAATGTGAAAATTAGGGGAGAAATCTGACTTGGCATGAAGTTCAACCTGAAGAGTACTGACAGTAAAAGTAGTTTCAACTAATAAAGGGCTGGAAGTTAACAAGAACAGGAACTAAAGTCCAAGTTGCTATAGCATTGGCACGTTGTCACTTTGAAAAATTTATACTGCTTAGTAGTCAGTGTGATCATAAGTGTAAAGCCAATCTTAACACCTGAGAGTGCCAGCCGCTGTGGAAGAGAAAAGTTATTTCTGGATCCCATTTGCATGTTGTGTGCTGAAGGAGGTGAGAGAAGAGAGACTAAATTATTCCTGTATTTTCAAGCCCAGTTTTACAACATAATTAATACAAGTCAAGAAGTCAGATGAAATATGGCTCTTTTCAGAGCTCAGTGCCCCAAATACACCAAGGTTGACAGGTAGGGGAACGGGGACTATTCTTAATCGCATTAACAGAAAGAGATCTCTGATTTTAAAATGCTAAATTATTCACATCGAAGAATACACAACATTATTGTCTTCCAGTTTTTAGCACAAAGTAAACAAGTAAACAAGAACTACCTTTGACATGGTGTAGTGATTTCAATGTTGAACTACAACTCTGGAGACCAGGGTTTGAATCCCTACTCAGCCACGAAAACCCACTGGGTCCCCATGAGCAAGTCACAATCTCTTAGCCTTCAGAGAAAAGAAAGGCAAACCTCTCTGAACATATATTGTGAAGAAAAGCACTTGATCAATTAGGTTTGCCATCTGTTGAGAATGACTTGAAGGCATAAAACAAAACACAAGAAGTTTTAAAAAAATATTTGATTTTGTGTTATCGAAGACTTTTATGACCAGAATCACTGGGTTGCTGTGAGTTTTCCAGGTTGTATGGCCATTTTCCAGAAGCATTCTCTCCTGATGTTTCACCCACATCTATGACAAGCATCCTCAAAGGTTGTGAAGCATATTGGAAACTAAGCAAGAGAAGGCCCAGGATGGAAGGTCCAGGATGGAAGAAATAACTCTTGTCTGTTAGAGGCAAGTGTGAATGTTGCAGTGAATCACCTTGATTATCACTGAATGGCCTTGTAGCTTTAAAGTCTGTCTGATTCCTGCCTGGGGAATCCTTTGTTGGGAGGTATCACCTGGCCCTGATTGTTTCCTGTCTGGAATTCCCCTGTTTTCAGAGTGTTGTTCTTTGTTTACTGTCCTAATTTCAGAATTTTTTAAAATACTGGTAGACAGATTTTTTTTCATTTTCATTGGTTCATCCTTTCTATTGAAATTGTCCACATGCTTGTGGATTTCAATGGCTTCTCTATGTAGCCTGACATGGTAGTTGCTAGAGTAGTCCAGCACTTCTGAGTTCTCAAATAATATGTTGTGTCCCGGTTGGTTTATCAGGTGCTCTGCTATGGCTGACTTCTATGGTTGAGTTAGTCTGCAGTGCCTTTCATGTTCTTTAATGTGTGTTTGGGCAATGCTGCATTTGGTAGTCTCTATGTAGATTTGTCCACAGTTGCATGGTATAAGGCAGACTCCTGCAGAGGTGAGAGGATCCTTCTTGTCCTTTGCTAAATGTACCATTTGTTGGATTTTCTTAGTGGGTCTGTAGAAAGTTTGTAGGTTGTGTTTCCTCATCAGCTTCCCTATGTGGTCAGTAGTTCCCTTGATGTATGGCAAGAACACTTTTCCTCTGGGTGGATCTTTGTCTTTACTCTCGTGGCTTGTTTTTGGCCATGCTGGTCTTCTGATGTCTGAGGTGGAGTCTCCATTGGCCTGTAGAGCCCAGTCTAGGTGGTTCAGTACACCTTGGAGGAGGTGGAGTTCACAGATTCTTTTTGCACGGTCTGCCAGGGCTTTAATTGTGATTCTTATTTGACTTGGGTGATAGTTGGAATTTTTATGTAGGTATCTATCTATGTGTGTAGGTTTTCTGTAAATTGTGTGACCCAACTGTTGATCTGGTTTGCAGATGACTAGGACATCTAGAAATGGCAGTTTTCCTTCATTTCCTTTTCTGTGGTGAATTGGATGCTTGTGTGGATGCTGTTAAGATGGTTCAGGAACTTGTTTAGTTCTTCTTCTCCACGGCTTCAAATGGTGAAGGTGTCGTCCACATATCTGAACCATATAGTGGGCTTTTTTCTTGCTGTTTCTAGGGATTGTTTTTCAAAGTGTTCCATATAGAAATT